GAAGATGATCTCACCGATGAGGAGGAGAATGATGCAATAGAGGACGGGGACTATTGAGGAGATGGGTTCATAAGCTTGGATGGTATGGGTGGTCGGCGCTGTGTAGGAAGACAAGGATGGCTAGGGAACAACGCTTGAATGATCATGTATTTAGGGGATGTAAACCGAGGCGGCTTGAGGGAGGTATGGAAATGGCCCTGCCAATGAGAAATGAATGGACATGAACTATCTATGACTTGGTAGGAATGAAAATTGTGTCGGCACTGTGGAGTCCCTCGAAAGAATGTGGAACTTGATAAGAGAAGAAGAGGGTTGAGACGATATAGCCGAGGGGAGTGCGTTGTCCCTCGAAATGGTTTACCTATCGCAAAAGGGTTGGCACCTGTTTTGCGTAACGCTGGCGTCCGGGCAGGACCCAATGTGGATCTTAGGAGAGGCCGAGCAGTGGACTCGCGGCAAGGCGGAGGAATTCGCCAATGAAGGATGGGATGAGATTAGCAACAGAGTTGTAATAGGGGGATTGGAGGAGCTCAGGCTACCGTGTCAGTTAGCCCAGGCCTAGGTACCGCACTTTGTGGTAGACTGGTTTGGAGGGTATGAACATATTCTTGCGGTAGCGGAATCCCTAGACGAGATACGTCTGGAATTTTCATGGTTGGCCGATGCGTTCTACAAAATACTGCTGGAGGCTGGGCCTTTTTACGGGGACAGAGCCAAGGAAGTCGTGAACATTTTGTAGACCATCAGGGACGAGCAAACCGAGGTGGACGATAGAACTAAGGACCTTATACTGCGCCGGGAGGCGGCGACAACCCCCTCTTATGTAGGGGACGTATTCCTGTTGTTCGAAGTCTTATGTTTTTTATCGGAAGATTAGCACTCAAGCGAGAAGAGCTCCAGCAACGGGCAGGTAAGGAAATCATAATATGTATGGAATATGACCAAAACCAAGGATGGATGTTACAGTAGGAGGAAGGTTACCTTGCAAAGTAGGAAAGACTAAACCAAGGAAAGACGTAATTTCGGTGGATGCAGCACTCGACCGGAAGAAAGCGAGAAGGAAGGTGTCACGTGATGGCACAGAGAATGACACTCTGGGAAGACAAACCACGTGGAGTTTTGCAACCTCGCGAAACGGATGGTAGGACAGAGATAAGCATGTCAGCAAGAAGCGGGAAGAGCAACCCGGTAATGGACTGGGTAGGGATAAAACTTGTGGAAGATACAGTGTGTATCTAGTAGTAGAACTGGAATAGCGTGCAAGGGGCGAGTTTGGGGGCGTGAGCCTGGACCTTCCAGGACGTGTCCACGCCAAGTGATCGTTGTACCTATCAGAGGAAGGATGGCGCACCTTTGGGGTCAACGTGGCGTCCGGAGGCGACCCCGTACGATTGTTCGAGGGGGCGTGGCAGATAACATGGGGAGAAGGATTCCAGTTTGTGGATCCCGAACGGGACGACGTGACGGCCCAAGTAAGAACCATCATGGCAGGAACCTTCACCCTGCCAAACGAGAACTTACGGATGCGACTGCCACCCTTCCTGCTGCAACGAATGGGGGGCGCAAAACGCGTCATGCAGGCAGTGGTGGCATTAGCTGGACTAGGTTATAAGGAAGCCATAATGTATCGAGAATATTACATGGCCTTCTTGGAGATGGGGCAGTTTGAGGAGGAGCAAGAGTATGAAGTGCTACGCATTCTGCACGTAGCAGTAATGTCGAGACCAAAGATTTCGCTAATTAGCGATGAGGTTATGTGGGGAGTCATTAGGCATGAAGTGAGTCGCGGACTGACCTACATAGATGATGTGTATCAATTGTTTGAACTACCAGAGGAAGAGGTAATCCTATAGCGAGGAAAGAAAGCAAGGGCGACGATAAAAACAAGGCAGGAAGGAGGGAGAGACAAGAAGAGGGAGGGTAGCAAGTAGATTTTTGGATCATAAAAGAATGCGGGATATATATATATATTTTTTGGACCGTGCAGGAGCTCGCTGATCGGCAATGGCGACAAGGTGTGTTCAAACGCTGCGACAATCCACGCACCCTCGCCCACCCATGGAGGACGGTATTGGGTGGGAAGTGTCGCTACCTAAAAGCTACGAGGTTTGAGGAATTGATGTGGAATGGCGGGTTGTGACTTTGGGAAGAGACCACGCCTTCATGATGGTGGAATGCTTATGGAGTGGCATGAGGTTTAATCGAGGGCCTGGGATGATTTGTACGCCGACCTAAGGGTAACTGTAACCTTGTACTTCCCTGAGATTGGGTGGCACATGCTAGGGATCGAGATGGCCCAGGGGCTGTCTCTTATACACATCTAGATGTGTATAAGAGACAGGTATTGGGTGGGAAGTGTCGCTACCTAAAAGCTACGAGGTTTGAGGAATTGATGTGGAATGGCGGGTTGTGACTTTGGGAAGAGACCACGCCTTCATGATGGTGGAATGCTTATGGAGTGGCATGAGGTTTAATCGAGGGCCTGGGATGATTTGTACGCCGACCTAAGGGTAACTGTAACCTTGTACTTCCCTGAGATTGGGTGGCACATGCTAGGGATCGAGATGGCCCAGGGGCATGGGCTACTACCATGGTCTCAGCTTTTCCAGGTGCCCCACTTCTCCCCCCTCTTCGCACGATCGCAGCGCCATCTGGCTCTACCCCTTGTGGGATGCCTCGCGCCGCTCGTGCGTCTCCTCCTGCCACACCTCGCTCAACCTACATTCGAGGTCTCGAGGACGCGATCGCCCAGCTCCGGGCCAACCTCGCCCTCTCACGCCTTCAGCCACCCCCACCCTCATAGGTGGCCGCGCCTTCCGGCGCACCCCCTTCGTCCTGTATTCTTCCTTCCATGCAGGCTCGCTTCCCTCGCCCTGCACCCTACCCATCTCCATCCTACCTCCTCCCCATCCCCTCGGTTGCTGCGACCTCTTCTACCGCAGCTCCCGCCCAGCCTGCTGCTGTTTCCCCCGCCGCTCCACCATGCGGCCCGGGCGTACAGTCAGCTTCGCCTCTCCGTCCAGGACCTGCGCCGACTTATTCCGCCGTAGCGCAGTCCCCTGCTCCCCGTTCCCCTCGCCGCCAAAACGGTGGCGCACCACTCATCCACTTGTCGGACATTCCCTTGTATGACGGTATAGGCATACGCGTGTCTAGGTGGCTGCAGTCTGCCACCCACACGCTCCAGCTCATGGGCGCCACACCCGACACGTGGGTGGGTCACCTCTCCACGCGCTTGCGTGGTGCTCCTTTCGACGCTTGGGAGGATTTCTATGCTTACTCCCTGCGTGAGGGTCGGACTCCGACCTTCATGGATTTCCAGGCGTTCCTCGAGGATCGCTTCGGAACCCGATATGACGTGACTGACGCCTTCGAGCGTGTCGTCACTACACGCTGGTCCGACTCTGGTGGCGCTGCCGGCCTGGATCGCCACATCCAGGTCTTTCA